TTTTTATTCAGTTACTTTTATGCAAAGTACTACATGTATATTGGTTTTGGTGATGTAATGACAATATTCTAAGAGTTTGAGCATGAAGAGCAATATGAAAATCTTTTTGTAATTTTAGTAATTAGTGTCTTAAGAACTTTATGGAATTTACATAATTTAAGTATACGTAAAACCGTTTTTATATTAAGATTTTTGCATCTGTATCTGGCTGTTTTTCCTACCATGAAGTTGTGAAACATTAGGGAAAGGGGATTGGGATACAGTTTCTGCTTTTCTTATTTAGAAATTCTCCAGTTAGCTTTTTGTGAAGATAACGTCTCACTATTTACAGTTTAACCTTGATCCTTGTATTTGAAATCATTTATCAATCGACCATAAATTACCGATTAATTTTTTTTTTAAATTTTTTTTTTTTTTTTTTTTTTTTACACTAAAAATTCTCAAAGTCGGCGAACTTAGCACTTCCTTTGTCTCGTGCCTGTTTGGAAAGATCTTGGGCTATTTTCACGTTGCAGACGCAGTTTGAGGTCCCGCCTCGGCTCTCTGGAGGTTTCCCAGCAGTTTGGGGTTTCGTGGCTCATTCCGATGTTCCGATCGCCCAGTGTTCCATTTCAAACTTGAAGCTCCTTTTCTGTCCTTCTTACCCAATTTATCACAGCTCCAGCCAGGATCTGGTGGAGCCCCCCTCTCCTGGGGGGGCTGCACATCACCCTGTGCCAGGCTAAGGCCGGAGGCTCCTGTCCCTCTGCAGCCATTCCGGCGCCAACTTCCCGGGAACTTCTCTCGCCTGAGGACAAGACTGCAAGGCCGGGCCGCGGGTTTAGCTTTGGCTTTCGAGATGCCACTCTTGAGGGAAAAATGCACTGTAAAATTGGACCAGAAAATGTGTTGCACTTCTTATGTAAGTATTCTGTGATGTATTGTATTCAATACAGATACTAAGATGCTGACTAGGCTATATTTGAGCAGTTTTGCACTGCTGTTAACACATTTTATGCATACGTTTACAGATTTTTTCCAATGGAAAGTGGTTTCACTACTGGTACAGTATCAGCACCGAAGGGTTTATTCCAGCAAGCACTGTGGTTGAGTGACATCACCTCAATTTTTTATTATCCTTAAAATATTTCATTTTTCATATTCTTTATTTATAAAGGAAACAATGCTGCTGTAAATACAGGTTTTTTGTTTTGGTTTTGTTTTTTTTTTTTTTTCTTTTTTTATTTCATTCCATCACCATGAGATGCAGTTCCCTATTTGTTGAAGGGGTATATAAGCTTTCTAATGGTGTCTTCAGAAATTTATAAAATGTAAATACTGATTTTGATGGTCCTTAAGATGTGTTTTAACTGTGAGACTATTTAACTAATGGTGTGGATGTGATTTGTCATCCAGTATTAAGTTCTTAGTCACTGATCTTGTGTACAAAATAGGAAAGAGGGAAACTGCAGCTTTCATTACAAACTTCTTGAATTTGCCAGCTGAGTTTTAGCAGACTCTAATTACGCCTCTGGATAGTACATCATGCATTTCTCTCTGGCTTTAATTTGCTAAAGCTGTGCACATATGTAAAAAAATAGATTATTTTAGGGGAGATGTAGTTCTAGAATTATTGCTTATGTCATTTCTTAAGCAGTTATGCTCTTAATGCTTAAAAGAAGGCTAGCATTGTTTGCACAAAAAGTTGGTGATCCCCCCAAAAATAGTAATGAAATTACTTCTGTTCAGTAAACTTTGTATGTCATGTCAATTTATAATAAAAGCTGAAAAAATCCCCTTGTTTTCTATTTATAAAGATGCCTTTTCTCTATGTACCTTTGCAGATGCCATGTAAGCTGGTTAAAAAGAATTTGAACGGTACAGTAGATGTAAAACCAAACCCAAACCCCAAACAAACAAACAAAAATCCCCAAGCAAAACGAGTTGTTTAAATGAACCGTTGTTTCTCATTAAATGTTTTCTTTGAAATCAGCTTTTGTACATAAAGTTCAGTAATGTGAAATCTGCCACGCCGGGTGTCCAGTCATTCTGTGCAGAGGCCTCGAGCAGCACCTGCCAAAACCCTCTGTTCTGCAGGACTTAAAATTTGGGTACGTGTTCTTCCTTTGCCAGGTTGTTCCAGCTGTATTCCAGGTACCTCCATCAATCCCCAGGGTTTTAGTTGGATTATAACAACTTCCATTCTCCTTTCTTGGGGTAGAGCTGAGAGAGATCCATCTGCAAGTTGTGCTTTACTGTTTGGAACTGTGATTACAGAACTGCAAACCAACACATCCCTGGGGATGGCACTTACAGAACCAAGACTTGTGCGTTTTTTACATGCAGGTGGTTAATGTTTCAAGCATTTTATAAAATAGTTTATATGGAGTGAAGTTTAAATGGGTGTTGGCTTAAAATATCCCCTGTGGGACGGCAGGACGGATTCTCCAGGTGAGTGGTGTGGTTGTGAGGGAGAGCTGCCAAGTCAGCAACTTTCCTCACTGCTTTCACAAGTTACTTTTCCTTTCAAAGAGACCAAATAACTGGAACAGGCTGCAGGTAAAGCAGAACTAAGGGAACAGAGTAAATCTGTGTGTTAGTCCAGTGGGGACTTTATTTGAAGGTGATTAAATAGCTCTGCTGCCAAAAACTGCTGCTGGGGAAGAGCTGCACCAGTGAATGCAGCAGGAGGAGATGGGAACAGTGAAATGGAGAAGAGACAGATCAGCCTCGATGGAATACTGAGGGAAGGAGGTTATGGATGCTGGAACAAATTTTATAATAACAGGGAACAGTTATTTTTGCGAGAGATGTCAGTTAAAATCTGAACTTCAGCTGGAAATAAAGGGAAGTGCACAGGTGAGAAAGGTGGAAATAAATTGTTCAGGAGAGCAGCTTTTAAAGATGGGTGCAGCACTCTAGAAAACACGTTCTTAACGTTGTTAGAACACCACGTTGCTCAGCTTTATGCCCAAATAAATAACTTCCTAGACCAGGCACAGTTGAGGGATAAAACTTTATTTAAAAAAAAAATTCAAATTTCACTTGAGACATAAGTCTTAGTTGAGGTAAGTGACTGTCCTAGCTTAGGAAAACAACGTTCAGGGTCGGGTTTCTAAGCCATTAACACTCTGTTGCTTGCAGGGCTCCAAGAGCCAGAGGTGCAAACGGTACAGCCAGTGTCGAGTTTTCCATCCAGCTGAACTCTGCCGTGGAAGAACGGGATTTGCACCCTTCAGTTCAAGCCTCTTCCACTTCTTGGGACTTGGTTACTTCAGTGCTGGGTCCCTTGCCCTGAGACTCTTGGCTGCTCCCCCGGCACAAGGTGAGGCTCCAAGAGGTGGCTCCAAGTACCTCCTTTGCAGTTGGGACAGCGAGGCTTGTGCTGGACTAAAATAAACAAAACCTTCCCGGTCGTTTCAGCTGCTTTGCTGTGTGCTCTGAACAAACTGACACGGCCTTGCCACCTCTGGAAGTACCTGAATTCAAGGTTTAAGCTTTATTTTCTGCTATGTAAGTAAATATCCTGCAGGATCTACAGGTCCTCCTAAGGCAGATGCAGAGGTACCTCAGAACTGTGGATATCCACAATTTTAGTTCCATGTGGTTAAACGACTAAAGTTCCAACCAGTACCTGATACCTGAAGTGTGTAAGTAAAACTGCCAGCACTACTACATGGAGCAAGAGCTACGTCTGCTGCTACCTGGAGTGCCAGCCCACACCCCTCTGAGTGGGGCTGACACTGTTTCATCTACTAAACCTTATCATAAAAGTACTGAAAATACTCTTCACAGAATGAAAGGAACACTGAAAGCACAGGAGAAGCAGTATCCTCTTAGTCCCTAACACTGAAACAGCTGAGTTTGAAAAACTAAGAGTACTGCAGGCTTGTTGTTGCTAACACTGGATAATCTGACCGGGAGTCCAGTCCTCACTTCATGTCTTACAGCAAATTCCAACCCAACTCTGCCACTTGTACCCCTCTGAATCTACACCCATTTTCCTGTAAATGGTGTAAACACCAACAGCCATTTTTGTCTGATTTTCTTGCACTCTGCTACAGGTGCCTGGGGAAAAATGCAGGCAGGGTGGCTGATCTTTCTGTACTGACAGTGTGAGGATGGGGGAAGATAATTCAATGTAAAATAAGCTTTTTATGCTTTAAGCTTATTATGGTGTAACACAGAGGGTGTAACATAGTGCCACTGAAGGAAAAAAGGGCAGTATGATTGTCTAGGCTTTATAAAAATACTGCTATTCTAACATAAAATATATTTAATTTTAATTGAACTTGAGGTAAGAAGCCCCTCAGTGAGTGTCACTTTAATATAATCTTTAAATCCAATAGCATTGCAGTCTTTTGACCAGGAGTGGGCTCCATTTGAGAAGCTCATTCTCAATCTTTCCCTGGAGGAAACAGGTGTAAAACTTCATGTCACTTCTGAACTGCAAGTCATTTATTTCATCCTAATCCCTCATCCCATCCCACTCCGTGGAGGGGCAGCTGGATGCCCCCATCTGCTCAGTTATCCCTGCAGCTGAGGTGTGCCTGAAGCCCATGCCCCCTGCCTCCAGGTGGATCTGCAGCAGCAGTCCCAGCTTGGACCCTACACCTGCACTCCTGCAGGGAGCTCCCAGGCACCAATTTGGGATCGCTGGGAATCCCCCCCGTGGCACTTCCCTTGGAGCTGGACAGCAGAGAGAGGGTTGTGCCGCTGTCAGGAGGGCCGTGAGGAAGCACAGTTGCCAATCAACACATCAAGCCCAGGTACCAAAGCCCTGCCACTCGCTGTGGCAGAGGCTGCACGTGAATTGTGAGCAGGGAAGACATTCAGAGCAGATCAGGAGCCCGTCCCGCTCCGGGAATGGCTCTGGCTGAGGCAGCGTGAGCATCACCACACAGCTGCTCTGGAAAACACATTCCACGTGACAAACAGACAACAGTTCAAGCAATAGCAGAATAAGGCACTGGAGTGACTCAGTAACAGGCTGGCTCATGTCCTGCTGCCCAGGGACGAGCGGTACCGTGCGGGGAAGGGGCTCAGTGTCCAGTCGCTCCTGAGGCAGCAGAGTGTCCAAGGGAGCAGAGCAGGACTCTGCTCTAAACACTGTGCTCTCTCTGGGGGGTGTAAATACAATTTTGGTCCACTACCACCCCCACCTGCTCATCTCACAGACCAGCAGCTCGAAGCGAAGTTAACTCGACACAACACGCGTACCCTGAGACGAGAGTACAATGAAATACTGACACGAATCAAGTCTGGAGGAAGAAAGGGAAAGGTCTGATGGACTGCTTAAATTAATTTGCCTAAGCAAATGCCTGCTTCTAGCTTTTTCCAGAGTAACAGATCCAATGTTTCACAATTATTGCTTAAATGAATCCAGTAGGAAGTACAATATAGTGGAGTTCAAGTACTATAAAGACAGGTTTTTGTTACCAGATTGTTGTCAAACAGCTGGAAACCCAGGTTATAACGTTACACTTTTCGACAAAAATCCCTTTTAGTCGCTGCTAAAACACCAAAACCTTCCAGCCTGGGTATGAAAATGAACACCCAAAATACAACGAGCCACAGCACTGATCAAGTACCCAGTCAAAGACCACTTCTCTGTTGTTGGAGCTGATGGTCACCCGGAGCTTGAAGTTCCCTCCCTCGCTGCTGCAGGGCCCCAACTGCACCACTTCCATGTCGAACGTCACCGTGGAGCCCGAGGTAACGGCAGGCAGCTGGTTTGTCATCTCCTTCCCGTTCACAAACACCGCCCCTGAAACAGTCAGCACATCCAACAGCATTCCCCACTGTCTCCCTGGTTTTTGCAGGCAAGTGGGGAAGTCCCTGCTGCGTTCGGTGCCACACACCCGGCAGGGCCGCGAGAACCGTGAGCAGGAGATCTGTGATCCCCCCAGGACTCGGAACTGCACGAGCAGGAGATCTGTGATCCCCCCCAGGACTCTGAACTGCACAGGAGCTGCTCTGCGTTCCCCAGGGGTGCAAACACCCCGGGCTGTGTTTTGGGAAGGAATGCTGTGTCACACTCACCGTTGGTGCTGACGCACACGGCCTTGTCCCGCTGCAGGGAGTCGAAGCCGTTCTGCTGCTCCACACACACCCCCAGGCTGTCCCGCCTGTCCGGCTGCCCCACGGTCTCAATCCTGCCAAGCAACGGGTCAAGTCAAACCCTGGAGCTCTAAATCAAGGCAAGACTGTCACACCAAACCCCTGTTCTGTGTGCTCAGCGAATTCACCCGAACTTTTAGGGAGATCGGCCAAAATGACCAAAACTCCTACCAGTTTTCCCAGCAGCTCCACTGCGCAACAATATTAATCTGTACAAAGCATAAACCTGCTTCCTGCAGACCTTCAGTGCTATTTAATAATTTTTTTTCCACTGTCACAGCTTAGGAATGATCTTTAGAAGCGATTTCCAGTTGTCTGAAGGAGCCAATAAGCACAAATCTGCAATCAGCTCTGCCAGGCTGCTGGGCAGCATCACCCGTCACAGCCAGACAGCTGCAGTTTCAGCAGGGATTCACTAAGCACAACTAAAACGGGTGTTTTGAGCCTTGCCATGTTCTGCTGTAACGGGGTGAGGGTGCTGGGTTGGGCTTTTTTAAGCAATCAGCTTGGTGCAGATGTGTGCTAAAAGCCATGCCTAGAAGGGCATTTACAAGTCTGGTTTCTGCTCCGCTGCATTTGGGATTGCAAGAGACTCTGAAGAAAATGCAAACAAGTTGTGCAAATGAGCAGGGCCTCAGTTCCCCCTGGGCCCCAGGGGCTGCACAGTTTGTCCACTGAAAGGCTCTTCTGCATTTGAATCCTTCCTCTTGCACTGCCACCTCTCACAGGTGCTAAATCCTGTGGAGGGAGCCTGAGTGACTCAGGAAACTCAGGTGGTGTTTTCTAGAAAGTAAACCAGTGGTTATTTTCACTGCAGTTTGAAAGACCAGCACTGATAGGTGGTTGTTGCCAAACAACAGGAAAACTTCAGCACAGCTTTCAAGAAATTCCAATTAAAGTGGGAGGTGGACTGGCACACAAGGGGTTAACTCTTTCGAGACAAACAGGGATGCTAAAATTGGAACCATGTTTTACTCCATTAGGGTTTTCAGTCCCCTGGGAACGTCACTAAGAGAGCAAAAGTCTTGTACTATAAAGCAGAGGGGGAAAAAAATGAAATCTCCAAGAAGCTTTCGCTTTGGAAGGGATCCACAGTGTTTTCACAAAGCAACTTTAAATCAGATTTCAAATTCGTGTTGTTGCTCTGCTTTAGACTTTAAACTTGAGTTCCTGGTGAAGGTTTATAAGCAGCCATTTATCTGAGAACTTTGTGCACAAGGTAACGTTGATTCATTCCATCCCTGAGTTAAAGGAGCCTTTCCCAGGGGCAGCTCCCTGAAGGCTGCAAAGGAACAGGATGAGGCTTGACCTCAAGCAGGGATGTTTTCCTACAGCTCGTCCAAACCCTTCACCTCAGCACAACTGCCACAGTCTGGCTCTGAAAAGCAGATCCAAAGCACTGTGTTTATCACAGCTTCTCTTGCCACTCACTTTCCACACACAGCACCCAGCTGGCCAGGAGACATCTGAGCAGGACCTTCCTCTCTTGGTCTCCTCATCCCAGGAGAGCAACTCCCTTGTGTCCCACCAGATGGGCAGAGCCAAGCACCGAGTGCTGCATCTCCCTGCTCGGTAAAATCTCCCACACTTCCACACAGGAAGCTCCCCTTGGACCTTGGAGGAAGAACACGACTCATCTCCAAACTTAAAATTCCTGTCCCAGCAGTTCTTGTGGGCAGCTGTTGGCTCCTGCTCTGCCATCCTGAAACAATCTCCCCTCGGAGGGGAGGCCACGCTACCAAAATGTGAAGCAAAAGAGTTTCATGTGCTACCAATAAAAAAAGATAAAAGGCACTGGTCTGAGAGGCAACCAAGGGAAACCTCAGGGTTCTGCCTTTAATTTCCCAGGCATTTCTGAGCCAAGAGAAGTTAAATCCAGCAACAGATTTCAAATGAAAGCTTTAGATCTTTTTATCCCATCTCAGACAGGGCAACTGAACACATCCTCACACTGCAACCACCTGAAGTTCAGAAAATCCACTATCAGGAAGGGCAAAATGAAACACCACGGAATAAGTTACAAAAATATCATGAACAGCCCCTTGTAATTGCCTTTGGGGGTTGCCTGCTGTACAGCAAGTAGTTTTATTTAACCAGGGAAAGATGAAATAAAGCTTCAGAGCCTCTGAGGTCTCTAATTACAACTGACATATCCACAAGGACATTCCTCATACGCCGTTAAACATGTTCTGTGTCGAATGGAAAGCTTGGATTTCCCAAGATCCTGCCCCACTCTGGGTTTTCTAATGCCACTTTCGAGCAGTGCCCTGGCCAGGACTGATTATCTCAGATGTTAAAGACATCAGTGCCAGACTGTCACCCAGCAGCACACCCAAGGTGTTCACGTCCAAAGCCTTCCCAGCCTGTGGACAGTGTGGGAAGGAGAGCACCCCCTGGCCGAGGTTACACAGAGCCAGTGGCAAAGCTCCACTGCCTTCAGCCAGGAACAGCTGCTACAACCTCCAGGAAGTTCAACATTCCAGACATTTGCTCAGCACGGGCTGTATTTTTACCATCCCTCAGGGGTTCGCTCATCCCTGCCTGACACAAGGGCCAGTCCTGCACAAACATCAGGTGTGTTCCCACAAAGCCAGGCAGCAGAACCGCAGAGGGAATGGAGCCTTCCCGCAGACACCCCACCCTGAGGGGGCTGAGCTGATGCACAACCAGCACACAGCTCAGCTGGGACAGCCCAGGGGATGCCCCAGAACAGCCACCCAAGGAGTACTCGCCTGAAGGTCAAGGTTTGCCCACAGAAATAGGTGGGAGCTTTGGAGTAGAGGACACCACAGGACTGGGAATCGTTCCGAAGCGCGATGTTCCTGCGGCTGCTCAGGCTGTAACCCTCCAGCCCAGCTGTCCACTCTTCAAAGAGAACAAACAAAACCATGAGAAGTGTGAACCCCAACTCAACCTCCTCCTGTCTGTGCCAGCTCCAGTCAGTCCCACTCAGCCCACCTCGGGTGCAGCTACGTTAAAAGCAGGGGCTGGGATTGCCTTTTCCTGATGGAGAGATTTGTTTTTCAAATAAACTGCAGCTACAAAAAGTATTTCCCAGCTCAGAGTTCGCCAGAAGTTCAGTCACTGCTGCAATCCCTGCCAAGTCGTATTTTAGGCAAAGGAAAACCTTCGTCACCCGCTGTCCTTAAAAATCTGCGAGTGAGGAGAATATTTAGGGTTTTCCCTCTCCAAAAGCTTGTTGGGAGCTGTGGGTCATCAAAAACGCTCAGGCTGGGGTGGGGGAGAAGGACAAACAGTGCTTTACTCCTGGCTCCCCGGTGCTTCCAAAGGCTAAGCAGGAGGGAAAGGCTCACCGAGTGTCCCCCACGGTGGGGGAAGCAAAGAATGAACCGCAGGCCTGAGGGACAGTCCATCGAGTCACACACACCCCCCCCACACCAGGAGCTGGCCCTGCAGGGCTCTGGGGTGCCGAGCAGTACCGTGTGGCACCAGCGAGGTGCGGCCGAGCTGGGGGACGCTCCAGGGGCTCCACTCCTGCCGGCCGTCCCCGCGGGCGCACACGCGGAACTGGTAATCCACGTGGGGGTCGATGTGCAGCACCATGAACTCCGTCTCCGAGCCCACGTACGCGTCCTCGAAGGGGCTGGCGGTGCCCTTGCGGAACTGCAGCCGGTAATCCTGGGGGGTGAAGTCCTCGTCCACCTGCAGGACAGACACTGCCTTCAGAAAGGGCTCTGCCCCTCCAGGGGCACATTGTGGGACAGACCTGCAGGGGACCAACCCACAGGGTATCCCAGTGCCTGACAGGAAACAACATCAGCGTCCCAACCAACCAACACCTAAAGAAGTACCAGAATTACTCAGTTACAGTTTAAAAGTGCCTACAGGAGAAGAAACATTTAAAAGAAGACTTTTCAACCTAGCAGGATATAGTATTATAAATCTTGCTAGATTGCATAGGTACAATTAAAATATACCTATATATTGCTAGATGGTACATCTATAACAACGTCCTTCAGCCAAAAGCTGAAAACAACTTTGCAGAAGAAATTCAGTGCCAATTTTTAACCACAAGGGAAACTCACTGTTGTCCTTCACAAACTGTTCCAGGGAATGATTTCCAGTTCTTTGATATCTCTAAGTCAGAAGACATTTATACACACACATGCTCAAAAAAAAGAAAAGCTCCACAACACCCCAGGCACGACCAACCTCAGGGAACTCCTCTGCAGCAAATCCCAGCCCAAGTGACAACTGTGCCCACTGCCTGGGGGTTTGTAACCTGAGTCCACATCCTGCACTCAGGAGGGGTGGCCAACCAAGGGCTGGCTCCTGCCAGAACAACAACAGCTTGTCTGATGCCAAGGAGGGCAGAGCTGGCCAACAACAACCAAACCACAGCAGTGCTTGACTCAAAAATAGCCTGTCTGTTGAAAAGAAAGGCCACTGGACCAACCAACCACAATATTATTATTTCTCTTTCTACCCACTGCACCTCCCACAGAACACCAACACGCTTGGGCGTAAAAGCACAGCAGAACAGGTTCAGCCTCATCCTGGCTGTGCCAAAGCACCTTCAGAGTCCCACAGTGCCTGCCTGTCCCTGCCACACAAACCAGCCACTCCCACAGCACAAACAGCTACGTGGAAACCACCTGTCAGCAACACCCCCAGCAGCTCTTGCTCTTGTTTGTACCACGGCATCACCCGGATTACACTTCGTGTTTATCTGTTTAGTGGGAAGAGCATGGGAAGGAGCTGCTTCCAGCTTGTCCAGCACCTGGCCCTTGGTCAGGGGATTGTTCAGTTCTTTCAACAAGACTCAAAGCTGAAGGATCGCCACGCGGGATATTTTACCTACCTTACACCATCGGACTAAAATACCCCCAGGCTTTTCCACAAACTCCTCCAGCTGCACAGGGGGGCGAGAGGCCACGGTGCCATGTGTGAAGATCTGATTTTTCAGTATAGTGAGGAGGCAATCATCCAGCTGGGCAGACAGACAAGGCACGTCGACCAAGGAGGGCACTTCTGGTAAGCTGAGAAAGGAAAGTTTGCTGTAACGAGAGGGGCCAGCTCCAGCAAATCCATATTTCGATCCAGGCACTTGAATCTGGGCAGATTTGCAGAGAGAACAGCTGCAGGAATTGGCACGTGCAGCCCAGACTCAAAAGACTCAGAAAACGTCGTGTGTGAGCCCTCAGCAGACTGACTGATTCTCAGTAAATACCCCGAAACACAGGCTGTTCCACAGGGAGCGGCGTCACCGCTCACAAACAAACAGCCTCTGCTTCTGCAGAGCACATGGAGGGTGAAACCCCCCCCCTCCTGTCAGTGTCAGCCCCACAGAAAGCCAGGGAAACCAGCAGGACAGCAGCACTTCCAGTGAATCTCGAGAGGCAGCGGGGAAAAGATGCCCTGCACGAGGAGGGCACACCTGCTGCTGCCCCAGATCACCCCAGGGGGGTCACGTCTCACCTGTCCAGCTGGATGTGTAAAGCTTTTTTGGTGAAGTTGCAAAGCTTCTCATTCTGCTGTCCCACATCTCCATCCACTGCGCTCTCCCCTGCAACCAAACAGCAAAAACATCCCCCCGTGAGACAACACACAAAAGGCACTCCTGGCTTCAAAGAACAACCAGTTCTGACATGAGCAGCCAATTAAACATGAAGCATCCTCAGCACTTCTGCCAGTCTTAGCTAGAAAATACAATTATAGTGAACAACATAAAGCTTATGTAGCAGCTTCTGAAGCTCTCAAAGCTCCCCACAGACACACCCCATAACAGATGTGATGATTTGCCTCAGGTCTCAGACAGCAGCAGAACTGGGGTCAGATGCCAAAAATCAGGGTTATTAATCCCTTCCTCCACCTGTTTTAAAGGAAGAAAAGGACAAAGCACCTTCACTGATCAGAAAAAAAAAAAAAAAAAAAAAAGAGGGGCTTAAAAGCAAGGAATAGTTTCAACAATTGTTTGCCAGAATTAAAATGGTACCCACTGTCCTGGTGACAGGAGCAACCTGTGCATTAAAGTGTGGGATAAACAGAAATATTTCCCTGAGCTTTCCATACAGAGCAGCATCCCACACTCAGCTTACAGACATGTGCTCCAGTGTCCTGTCTGATGAGTTTACAGCAACTCACCACATCAGCAAGCTCAGTCCTCCTCCTGATGGGGGATTGCAGACGTTACAAAGCTCTGAAGGAAAGCACACTGTCACAGTTGGCAGCAGGAGGTTCAATAACCACGGGGTTTAACTCCTTTCTGCCTCAGCTGCCCTGTGAGCTCGTCCTGCCCACAGGACTCGGGGATGCTGCAGAGCCAGCCAGGTTCTCAGGAGACCCCACAGAGCTCACATAAAACACCAGCAATCTTTGCCACCACCCTGACTCGGTAACCTGAGACTTAAAACAAAACCAAGGTGACCCCCAGCTGTCCCAGAGCTGTGGTGATGGACAAGAACCCCAACAAATTAATCCATAAATGCTGTCCCTTCTCCTGTGAGCAGGAGCACAGAGCTCCCAAGGCAGCACAGCCAGAGCTGGAGGCTGAGGGGAGCTGGGAGCTGTCCCACCCCTGGGCCACAGCTCAGTGTGCCTCAGCTCCAGAGCTGAGCTCATGCTGAAAGAAAGTTAAAGTTGAGCCACGAGAACAATGCGAGGAAACTGCCAACACACTCACGGTTCAGACACGCTCCCAGCAACTTCTGCAGCGTGGGGGAAACAGGCAGCAGTGCCATTCCCTTCTGCAGAGCTATTCACATCAGCAGGGCACAGCCTGGCCTGACAGCAACCTCCACATGTCCATTTGTGTCTGCCTCCTCCACAGACTTTCGGGGAGAATTTTCCCCATGCAGTGGCCGCTTCATTCCTGCTGCTCCCCATCCCCAGCGGACACAGTCACACCCAGCAGGACAATCTGTTTGTGTCAGTAAGACAGAATTAACTTATCCACCAACAGAGACACTTTGCTGTAGTGCTACCCAAGATGTGTTTTATTTCCAAGTAGCCAGCGCTTCCTGCCCCTTAGGAGCCCCTACATCGACACCTGCACAGCCCAGGACTGGAGGGAAATGGTAAAATACAGGTTTGCAGGACACAACACTGATCGGCTCTTCACCCCATCTACCCAGCCTGAACTGAGAAATCCAAATGAGCCAAGCACATTGCTAATAACAGGAATGTTCCAGCCTTGGACAGACACAGAGGGAAAGGCAGAGCCAAGACCCAGCCCCGGGTGCGGCCTCACCTTCCCGGAGCAGCTCGTCGGCCACGCTCACCCCCTGCTCGATCAGCTTCTGGCACTCGTCCAAGGGCTTGATGCTCTCCTGCTCTATGGTATCCACCTCCTGCAGCAGGGACAGCAGCCTCTCATCCAGCAGCTTCTTCAGGGTCCCTTTCAAGTCGTTGAAATGCTGCTCGAGCACATCCCTGGTCAGCGCTGCGCTCTCTTTGATCTGAACTCGGACAGCAGGAAAGAAGGGTTCAGGAGAAAGGCAAAGGCCACAAACATCTTTTCCTGAACTACTTCATCTACATCTGCTGGAGAAAAGCTGTTGAATGAAGTCAGCTCAAAAAAACGACCACTAGCAGTTAACAAATTAGTGCAGTCATTTTTAGCACACACACAGCAGGGAGGGAGGCAAAGAAACCAGCCTGCTGGAGGGGAAGGGCATATTAACTAAGCAAAATACAATCTGGGTTACAGGAACTTCAACCAAAGAGTTGTTCTTGTCAGAAAAATCCCAATGCCCTGTAGGTCTTCCCCCTGCTGCCCCTCGAAAAAACCCCACTGCTGTAATCCTACACTCTGCCATCACTACTCCTTGGAAAGAAAAAGGTATCAGGCTTTTAAGAGACTATCCAGGAGCACTTTTCCAGGCCCTGTAATTTCACAGGGTTTTTGAAGTCCTCCTAAAACTGCCTTCTTTTCAATTTTGTTCAAATATCTGCCTTGGGGTGAACAGCAAGCCTGGTTCGACTCCGGAAGAACCCGACCACAGAAGATTCTACAAGTGCTTATTAACGTGGTTGCAGATTTGCTGAATCTGACTTTTAGGGAAGAAAACACACTTGGAACGTCCCTGAGCCAAAGATGCAAGAGCCAGGGCTAAACATCTCCCTGCGAGCAACTTCTCTGAGTCCCGCACACAAGGAAAATCTGCAGCATGCTCAGCTCTCCTTACAAGTAATTTTGAGATCTTTAGAAGCCCAGGCAACCAACACAGGAAGCTCTCTGGTCAGGTAAAACAAATTTCCTCTTCAAGTAATGTTCGTGAAGCTCTGCAGCTGCCACACAGCTTGGTTTCCCTTCTCGTGTTACTTGTGCTCGGGGGTAAAAAAGGAAGTATTTCAGCTTTGTGAAGGAAGGCAGAGCAGCCACTTCTCTAAGCCCATTACGGGCAGCTCAGCCCCAAAATTAGATCCTCCTCGCCCAGCAAAAGAGGAAATGCGAGTCCCTGGACACACAGGGCTGTGGAAAATCATGTCCCATTGGTCCAGAGGAAAAGGATGCAACGGAAGCGATCCATTCACATCACCCCTCCCCACCTCCAGATGATAAAGCTCCCACTATCTGAACTCCAGAGAACTCCTGGATGTGTGATCCTTTGGGGACAAAACAGCCCGTGGAAAGAAGGTGGAAAAGAGAGAAATCAGGAGGGTGCACACAGCACAGGAATTCCCCCTGAGAGGAAAGGGAAAGGTGAGGTAACCCCACACTCACAGCCACTGCACAAAGGGCTCCCTCTGAGCCGTCAGGCAGCGCTTCGGGATGACAAGGTCTGGATTAAAGACAGCCATGCACAATTCATTTTCTTAAGCAGCCTGTGGTTTCATCAGTGACTAATTTAATGTGCAGCGATCACCCACACCCACCCGGGGCAGGGCACTCCCCCAGCACTCACAGCAGCGTCCTACACTAACGGAATCTGCCCCAGAAGAAACTGCCAGGGCACCACAGAAACATCCTCTGACCTTGGGTTTGTTTGGGTTTTTTAAATTTACTCCTTGCAGAGCCGAACCAAAGATAGTAAGGCACAGCTCCCCGTCTACACCCCCCGAGGTGCTCAGGGGCTGCCTGGGCAGAGGAGCCAGTCCTGCCGTGCGGCTCTCCCTGCCCACACCTGCCTATCTGACCCCGCATCTGCCGCTGCTCCCGTCTCGAGCAGAGCCCTGCCCGGCTCCAGCGCAGACCAACCAGCCAGCCTGGAATGCTGGGGAGGCTTGTGCCTGACCCACGGAGTACGTGACCCACGGGGAGCGGGGCATGGGGACAGCAGAGCCGAGAGGGCATCCCGGCCAGAGAGCAGCCTGTGCGGCAGGGACCTGATGTGACGGGATGGCGATGGGTGTGACACTCCGACTAAATCAGACTCAGCATCCCAGATAGTTCAGAAAACGCACTCCTTTACACATCTTTATCCTTGCTGGGAAATCTCCCTCTGATCCCAGCTAAGGAGGCTCAGCGCAGCAACAGATACCAGCTCACAGCCCTCTCCTCCCGGCACTTCCCGCATCTCCCATTCCCGCATCTCCCAACTCCAGCATCAGTCCACGCGCGGGTCCTGCGGGGCTCCCCCAGCCCCGAGGCTGCGGGGTCATGGAAAAACACACGGCTCCAGGTGGGAGCGGCCCGCGGCCCTCGGGGGTGTCCCCGGTGCCGCCCCCATCCCCCGGGGACACGGTGCGGGCAGGGGAGCCCCGCACCGCCCATCCCGCCGCGCTGCCCACCTGCTCCCGCGCCTGGTGCAGCCCCCGCAGGCGCTGCTGCAGCTCCCGGCGGTGGCTCCGCGCCGCCTCGATGCTCTCCCGGGCCTCCTGCAGCAGCAGCAGCCGCGCCTCGGCCTCGCCGGCGGCCTCCATGGGCACGGCGGCACCGGCGGGCGGCACGGGCGGGGCTCGGCCCGGAAGGGCGGGGCGGGAAACGGCAGCGAGGCCCGGACCGGCGGGGTGACGTCAGCGGGGGTGTGACATCAGCAGAGTGTGATGTAGGCACGGGGACCGTGACGTCAACTGCGGGTGTGACGTTCCCGGCGTGCCGTCCCGCGTGACGTCACGGCCGAGGCGGGAAAACCCGCCGGACAGCGGTGCCGGGAGAAGGGGCGGGGCCTCGGTGAGAATGGGCGTGGTCTCTGGGAGAAGGGGCGAGCCGGCTCTCCCGTGAGTCACGTGATCCCCCGAGGGGGCGTGGCCCGCGGCCGTTGGGCCGCGCGCGCGGGGCGGGCGGGTCACGTGGTGCCGGCAGGCCCCGCCCCCGCCGTTTCCGAACGCGGTCCCGCGCGCGCGCTTTTTGCCCGCCCTGGCCGGCGCGCGCGCCCGCGAGGCGGCGCCATCCCGGGGCGGGGGGGGCTCCATGGCGGCCGCGCGCGCCCCCCGGCCCTGAGGGGACATGGTGGGCAGGGTCGCCGTGGCCGCCCCGGCCGCGTCCCCGCCGCTGCTGCTCACCGGCCACGACGGCGACGCTCAGGTGGGCACGGGGGAGCGGGCCCGGGGGGGCGCGCTGTGAGGGCGGGCGGGCTGGCGGGGGGCGCCCCTGTGGCGTTGGCCCCTGACAGGGCGCGCCCGCCGCACCCGCGGGACCCGCGGCGTGAGGGGCCGCCCGTGCCCGGCCCGCGCCCCGGGTCGGGGTTAGAGCCCCCCGGGCCGGGCTGTCAGGAACCGCCTCCCGGGGGCTCCGGGAAGGGGCGTTTTCCCCTCAGAGGGTGGGATTTCGAGAGTTCGGTTTGTAATAAACCAGGGGTAGCAAAAGGCTTTGTGAGCGAAAGTTCCTTGGAGCTGTACGAGTGAATGCCCTTTGATCGGAGATCAAAATACAGGGAGTTCTGCCTAAAGACATCATGAGAGTTTGAATTGTGATCCGAGATAAGAGTTCTCTTTCATTCATTTTCTTTAAGTACTTGAAAGGTCGTCTTAAGATGAGTCGGATGTTCACGGTGGGATCAGACATTTTTGAGTGACACTGGAATTCCCTTCTGAGCTCCACAGAGCTCTGGGAAACATCCCGAGGTTACCGATGGGTCGAGCCCAAGTTACCCATTCCAGGTCTGTGGAATCTCTGCAGAGCTGTTCTGTCCTCTGGAAAAGTGCCGGTGTCATTCATCTCTATCACTCTACTGCTTTATTTTGCCACACTAAGTCACCTTAAGTTTTTCATGTTGCACTTTTTACAGCCATGCAAGAAACGACGAGAGGAAGATGCTCCTGTAAAAACTATCACAAGGTATTTTTCGCCATTAGCAAAACCAGTGGATAAAGCTTTGCCATCACCAAAACCCAACAACATCCTGGATTATTTTAAGAAGACATGTGTAACTGAGAAAGCCACGCTGCCAGCTGGGGATGGAGAAGATGAACCGCTGCTGGATGCTGATGACAAAGATTGTAAGTCGGCTTTAAAACCATCTTTGAACCGAAAGAGAAAAGGGAAGAAAGTTAATTTAAATAATAAACTCAAGGAATCTGAGAATGATCATGAAATAGAAATTAGTAGTGATGACAGCAGAGCGGCAACAAGACTGCAACAGGACAGCAGTGACTTTATTGCTACTTGTACTCTAGTTGGCCAAAAATGTGCAGGAGGATTAGCAGAAGATGATGTGGAAAGGGAGAACTTCTCCAATGCTGTCCTCTCCAGGAAAAATACAAAAAACACTGGCTCTGAAACAAATGGGTCAAAAAATAGGATGAGAAAATCAAGGAAAAGGAACCACAAAGTAGATATGGATTCGTCTGAAAGTTTCTCATTTGGAAACCAGATGAATGAAACTTGTAAAAAGGAAGCTGAGGAGAAGAAAAATGCAGTAGCAGAGAGTGATGCTGCTCCTGGTGATTCCAGTTTTGAGGCTCCTCCGGATGATGGGACATCACAGGTAAATAATTGCATAATAACAGTGTCATTTGAGGACTTCTTGAAGAGTCAGGGAGAAAACAATGCTGAGGAAGACACAAAGCCAGCAGTGGACAGAGGTGACAGTGTTGGTGACCCAGAAAAGTGTGAGGAGTCTCAGCAGCTGCCGCTCCGAACGGTCACTGTCCTGGCACAGGTTCATTCCGTTCCCCCCAAGTTGCCCCCGTTGCACAGAGAGCAGAAAGGCTCCAGGAAAATTGCTTCCATTTTCCTGAAGCAGAAGGCACGTGGAGGGGAGAAGGAAGGCAGCCCACCCCTCTTGGACTGTGAGCACACCGAGCAGGTGGCTCAGAAAAGGAAATCTAACGTGGTTATCCAGGAAGAGGAGTTGGAGTTGGCTGTCCTAGAGACTGCAGGGGGGGATTCTTTGAAGCCAAAATGCACCCTGGAAGAAAAGCATCAGTTCATGAAGGCCTTTAGGCAACCAGCATCAGAGGGAACAAAAAGTGGAGCTAAAAAGGCAGCTGGAAAGCAAAAGCAAGGCTCTGCAAAGCCTTCCAAAGAAAAAGAAGGACCTGAGGATGCCATTCCTTCAAATAAACGATTGGAGAGTGGGATCCCAGAAGATCATGTGGACAGATACACACATTCTAGTCCTAAAAGCAGCAGAACTAAAGCCAAGAGATCTAGAAAGGTTCAGAAAAAGGGAAACAGGAAAAGAAAGGGCTCAGAAACGAAGGAAACTCCTGTCTCCGGCACCAGCAATTGTAAGGGAGAAGAGGATTCAGGTGCTGACTTTCTTACTGTGGAAAACACCTCAGATGTAATAATTTTGTCAAGTCCAAAAGTGAATAAGTTGAGGAGGAGTTTAAGGCAGCAGAAAATCCAAACATCAACAAACATTACACCTAAAAAAGCCAGGATTAGAGCTGCCCTTCCTGCAGATGAGTTGAGTCCGTTACAGGCTTCTACCCCAAAGGCAAGCAGGCAACCCTCCAGGAAAAGCAACCTCTATAAAGCTGAGGTGATCACTGTGCCCTCTGATGGAAACAGCCCGATAAGGTAAACTTGGTGGAGCATATTCCACCTTTTTGCCCTTTATTTTAATGCATATATTTTGAAAGGCATAATTATAAAGTTGCATGGGTTGACCACGGTGGAAAATAATAGAGAAGAGCCAAAACTGATTATGAATGTGCTTGCACTAAAGACATTAAAAAAAAACCCAAACAACAACAAATCAGCTGGGAGGTTGCCTCTGTTTCCAGCACTGCTTTTTTAAAGGCTTTTGAACCTGAGGTTGAGGGCAGCATTTGCCTTTATTAAGCAGTAATAATGTCACAATGCTGTTTCCCTAATTAGGATGAGGTTCACACGTATCAATGCTGCTGCAAAGTCAAGCAGAGCTGAAGCAACGAAAAATGAAGAGTTTCACTCCAAAAACACAAAGGTAATTTATGTAACAGTTTGTGTTTGGGTATTTTGTCATTTCCTCTCTGTGTATAATTGTGTTCTACTGCACCATGACAGTTCTCAGCTGCCCTGGGGAAAGGGAGCATTACTCTGATTTATGGTGGAATTCCAGATAGCTTCTTGTTACCTTAGGTTTTAAAACATGTTTTATTAGTACCAACCTGCTTTTCATAGCAGAAAAAAAACCAACAAAAATGGCACGTCCCTGTGCTGCAGGATCTTATTAATTACATTAATCTGCTAAATACCTAGCAAAGATCCTGTTATTGACCGCTCTTTTGGTTTTCCTGTTCTTTGTTAACAGGCCAACCCTGCTTCTAAAAGCAGATGCAAAGCCAAGCAGCTGGTTGAGAAAGCCAAGGCCATCCAGCAGAACAGATCCCGGGGCCGGGAAGATTCCCCAGCTCCTGTGAGACGCTCGACTCGCCAGCGAGCCCTGGCTGAGAGGGCAAAGGCCCAGGACAGTGATGTAAGGATTGATATTTTGGAGGGCAACAATTACCCTGGGGTATTTGGGACTCGCTTAAGCAACAAAAATGAATCTTGGCTTGCGAGCTTTTCTTGTAAGGAATCAAGTAAGGGTGATATCTATGCAATGTGTCGTTAATGAAGGAGGACAGGTTGTGTGTCCTTTCTGATTTTGTTTGGTTTCCCTCTAGGAATCAGTAATAATTTTGGATTCCAGTGTGAGCAGTGTCACTACTGCAGAGCAGAGTGTGAAGCCAAAGAAACTTCGGAGCTTAAATGACGTTTTGGGGAAGAATTCTAAAAACTTGAAGGTTGTGAAGAGCTCAAATGGTAATTGGGCTTTACTGAATGTGTTTGTTTTTATTACAGTTATTGACTGTTGCAACTTTATTTTATAAAGCTGCCTTTGCAGTGCATTCCTGTTTTCCTCTGCTTTTTTTGGTACAGTATTCCAATACACACATTTCCTTGTTGTGTGAGGTAACAGTGCAGAGGTTGTTTACGTTTGCTGCTTTGATTTTTCTTCATTCAGGCAAAACTATGTTTGGAAAGCTGTCAATAGTACACCATGTTCTGTTGCCTTCTAATTTATGACTTTTTTTTCTCCTAATGTTACAGAAAATAAAATCTATAGTGATGAAGTAATCAGTAATAGAACTATAATGAATTTTAATTAATTATAAAAGACTCAGCTTTCCCTTAAGAAAAGGAGATTTCGTAGTGCTATAGAATGGAAGATGCAGGCAGTGAGCAGAGAAGCAGGGTTAGGATCCTCTATCAGTGTTCATCTAATCATGTTTTCTCGTTCTGAAAGGCAAACTGGGGTATCCACCCCCCTGCCCAGGCAGGAGAGCTCAGAACTCTGCAGGTGAACCCATCGTGATCTTTGATGAGAGCAGGTCAGTTCACAACATTCCCCTTTGCTTGAGAACCAAAACATATCTCAAGGTTGTTTTAATATTCTCTCATTTTACAAATTCAAACTGGAATGTGATGTAAACGTTCATGGGTTTTATACTGATCACCATGTTAATCTACTTGCAAAATTTTAGGAGTTTTTTGTAGAGTCCCTCAACTGTTGTTGTTGTTGTTCCATTTTTAGAGGGCTG